TTAATGGATATTTCGTTAACAGCTTCTCAAAGACTCTATATATTCTGATTTTTTTTTCAATGCACTGAAATGTCCTTGTTCTGGTAATAAACTTTTCATTTAGAATAAAAATTGATATATTTTAATATATCAAACGATTAATATAAACTGAAACTATATACATTTATTTTGACTCACCTGTATTGGCATTGGCTTGAACAGATATGCACATATCATTGTCCACAGGGAATTTGTCACATTTAACCATGTCCGGCCATGGAAAGCCATAGGCCTGCATACGACTTTCACATCCTTGCCTAACGGCTTCACACAGTGACCGGCATGGATAGATTGGTCTGTCCAAACACACAGGTGAGAACAATGAACATAGAAAGAGTTGAGTGTCCGAGTGGCACTTGAGATTGAAGAGCGGCACCCACGAAGAGGACTGCTGCGACACTTCGGCCATGGTGTCATGGTCCAACAAATTGGGCAGTCGCATTTGCGTGTATCCGATACCATGGCACAGGGTCAAGTTTTCTGGGATGTCAACACAAGAAGGTTGGGTAAGTCTGCTGCTGATACCCCATTCCGTTATGTAACTGTTGGTCAGCCTGGTACCTGATACTTCGCAAACTAGAACTGATAATAGGATAGCGACGATTACTTCCATGGCTTGGCGATTCATGAAGTGTGGCGACAGTCACCACTTTTTCTTGTTTCGCTCTATCTCTGTTTTTTAAAAATAAATGTTTTAAAATTTAAAAATCGATTTGCGATGAATTAATTTTCATCGAACGATGCATTTCACCGGATTATATACATGAAGAAAATAGAGTTGAAGTGTTTTAAAATAATCGAATAGTGATAAAGGGACCCGTCAAGCGATAAATCCACGTGCTTGACGGAGAAGCCAGGCCACCGGCAGAAATCCCGTTCTCACAGATCGACAGTTTTCCTACCGTCTGTTGTGGAATAAGAGGTTGCTTTCTCCGCTCAATGTCACGTGGAAACGAGCCCCGATGAAAACTACAAT